CCAAGTAGCTGGGATCACAGGCGCCCGCCACAACGCCCGGCTATTTTTTTTTTGGTTGCAGCCATTATTGTTGTTTGGCGGGTCCGGGCTGGATTTGAACCCACCACCTTAGGTCTATGTGGCTGGCGTCTTAGCTGCTTGAGCCACAGGCGCCGAGCCGAGACAGGCATTAAGAGATGCCCCCACCATCTGAGTTTCAGCCAGAGAAGGAGGTGGCTGGCCACCTGCCAGCTGGACCCCAGGAGGTGGCTTTCCCTGGGAAAGCACACACTGGACCCTTTTTTATGTCTCTCTGTATTGTCCGCGTTGTAATAAGCAGCAGACAGGTAATACTTTGGGGAAATGTCTTTTTTTTCATTTTTTCTTTTTCTTTATACTTGAGTGCTCAGTAGTGAGATAAGGGGGCACGCCCTCCCATTTCCAAATGCATGCAGCTGTGCTGACTCCCACCGTAGCTATCTTGTCCACTGGCATGGCCAGAACTGCATGCTATATGGCAGTGATGTTCTGTAATTTAGCAAACATTTGTTTCCTTCCTCTTTTCTGTAGCTGATTTTTCCAGAGTTGCAGATGTACTTTGTCAAGAAGGGGTATTATCTATTACCAGCTGGGATCTTGGAGTGCGTGCCCGGGTGTGTGTATGTCTGCATAGTGTGCATGCCTGGTGTACACACATACACATACATAAAAAATGGGGACCACACAAGCGACTTATGTTTCTATAGAACATAAGTTCCTCAAATACAAGAATGACTGCTATCTTCTCTGTGACTTGTTCCTTTCCCAACCGATGCTTTCTAGCTTGAATTCTCCCCCTGGATTTGTAAACCCACCCCACCCACTGTCAGCTGAGGAGACGCCACCGTCCATTTTTCTAACCTCTTATTTCTCACTGCCTGTATTATTTCCTTTTTAGGCACATCTCTCTAAAATACCACATAGTTCAATTTTTCTTTCTAATTCCTGATAATAAAAGAGTTTAACCTATTTGAACACAATCTGACTCTGTCACCCAGACTGGAGTGCTGTGGTTGTGGAAGCAACCCAAATGCCCATCAACCCAGGAATGGATTAACAAACTGTGGTGTATGTGTCCCATGAAGTACTGTTCAACTATAAGAAAAGATGAAGACTTTGCAACTGGATGGAGCTGAAACACATTCTTCTTAGTAAAGTATCACAAGAATGGAAAAAGAATCCCATATACTCCACACTAATATGAAACCAATATACAAACAATTACATGCCCACAGGAATGATAAAACACAAATACAGTCTAGCAAGTGGGAGGGGAAAGGAGAGAGTGGGGAGGACGACTGATGGGATCTCACCTAATGTGCACAATGTGAGGGCATTCAGCACACCCCTTCGGTGAAGGGCTCAACTACAACTTGAATTTTACCTTGGCAGTGAGAACAATGTTATCTAAAAGTTTGTACCCTCATGTTAATTTGGAATAAAAAAAAGGGTGCAGCTAAAGGCATGCTTAGATGGTTATGTATAAACATGTATGTTAATGTGCACTAAAAAAAAAAAGAATCCTGCGCCAGGCACAGTGGCTCACGCCTGCTATCCCAGAACTCTGAGAGGCCAAGGTGGATGGATTGCCTGAGCTCACAGGTTCAAGACCAGCCTGAGCCGGAGTGAGACCCACATCTCCAAAAATAGCTGAGGTGTGCCCTTGTGGCGGGCACCTGTAGTCCCAGCTACTAGGGAGACCGAGGCAAGAGAATCACTTGAGCCCAAGAGTTAGAGGTTGCTGTGAGCTATGATACCACAGCACTCTACCATGGGTGACAAAGTGAGACAGTCTCAAAAAAAAAAAAAAATATCCTGAACCCAGCATGGGGTGGTGGCAGTACAGAGACAACCAGGCCACCTGGCTAACCTCAAACCCAGAGGGTGCATATTTGAAGGTTCTCCAGGCCTGGAAACAGCAGGAGGCAGGAAAGAAAAAAGAGGACAGTGGCCTCTAGAAACACTGACCCACCACTGTCTTTCCACAGAAGAGGTCCCTAAGGGCTGGGCGCACCTATAATCCACCCAGGTCTTGAACTCCTGAGCTCAGGAGTCTGAGAACATCCTGAGCAAGAGCGAGACACTCATCTCTAAAAAAAATAGCTAAGTGTTGTAGAGGGCACCTGTAGTCCCAGCTACTTGGGAGGATAAAGAAGATCACTTGAACCCAAGAGTTTGAGGTTGCTGTTAGCTATGACACCAAGGCACTCTGTGTGAGGGGGGTGGGGGTGGTGGTGACAAAAAGTGAGACCCTGTCTCAAAAAACAATGGAAGAGGCCCCTGAATGAAACTCTTAAATAAGCTGCCAGCCCCATCCCCAGGCAGCACGAATGATCCCAATAAAAGAAATTACAAGGATAGTAAGATGGCCACATACTACCTCCTTGTCATAAGCCAGACACACGTGGCTTCTACACTACACACTGGCAACTACACATTCAGAAGCCAGAGAGCTGAGGATATTCCTCAAAGGTGTTAGGGTCCATCACACACCTGAAGCAGAAAAACATAAGACTGGGGCTTCAATTAAAAAGTTATTTAAAAGTGCAAGGGGTGGCGCCTGTGGCTCAAAGGTAGGGCGCCGGCCCCATAGGCCAGAGATGGGGGGTTCAAACCCAGCCCAGGCCAAAAACTGCAAAAAAAAAAAAAAAAAAAAAAAAGCTAAAAATAGGAACGGCACCATTTTCAAGAGAGAAAAATATCAGTGATATGGGCAAATTGGCTAAAAGAAAACTCAGCAACGCAGGGAGTGGAAAGTTGGCGCCCCCTGGGCTCATTTGCACGTCCGAAGGACAGAACTCTGAGCCGAAGCACAGTGACCGTCCCTGCTTTCCCACCTACGTGATTTGAGCTTAACCGGGGTCAGTTATTTGGTTGGTAATCACATTCTCCCCGCCCTTACTGTGATGATGCAATCTCCGGAAATAATGACACTTGACCATGTTGCTGGTATTCAGACAATAGTGGAGCAGAATGTCTGCCAGCAGAGAACCATCTCTACACGAAAGCTACACAGCAGGAGAAAGAGCTCACTCGTTTCCAGCGAATAAAACCCACCTGGACGCGACAGTTCATGCCTGTAATCTCAGCACTGTGGGAGGCCGAGGCGGGTAAACCCCTTGAGCCCAGGAGTTTGAGAGCAGCCTGAGCAAGAGCGAGATCCTGTCTCTACTAAAAGAGCAGCCTGAGCAAGAGCAAGACCCCGTCTCTACTAAAAGAGCAGCCTGGGCAAGAACCAGACCCGGTCTCTAGTAGCCAGCCGTTGTGACCGGTGCCTGTACTCCCAGCCACTTGGGGGCTGAGGTAGAAGGATCGCTTAAGCCCGGGGGTGTGACGTTGCACTGAGCTATGATGATGCCACAGCACTCCATACTGGAAAAGCCCGGCGACCTCGCCCTCCTCCGCGCGCGGACCGCCCCCGCACGCCGATTCC